GCGGCATGCAGCCCCGAGGCACAGACGAGCACGCGGAAGCTGAGAGCACAGAGTGACAAGCTCAAGGTCAGAGCCAGGAGGCGGCAGGGTCAGGACCCCACCACACAGCAGTGCAGTCCCATCCAGGTCAGAGCCAGGAGGCAGCAGGGCCAGAGCTCCACCCAGGCTGCCCCGGCCTGACCCTGGCCCGCAGCTGTGCCACCCCAGTGGACTGGCGCCAACATCGGACGGCGCCCGTGGCAAGGATCATCCACGGCCTGGATGGTGTCTCTCAAGCAGATCCTGCCAGTGCCACCGGCCAGTCAGTCATGTCTGCCGGCAAACCTGTGATGTCGGGTTCTCAAGAACACAGACCTCGCCCCGCTCCTTGGCTGCGTGTAACCGAGCTTCGAAGTCACCTGAATTTCTAGAAGAGCCCAGCAAGCTCTAGCAGGTGTCGGAGTGTGGAATCCCTTGTAGCCCGTGTCCGGCTCCTAGGCTTGTTGGCATGGGAACCACGGGCGAGTCACTTAACCGCGGGTCGTCAGTCTCCACATCTATAAAACGGGGATGCCAGTAGACCTCTGTGCTAGGCCTGTCGTGAGGATGCAGTGAGATATGTCAAGCGCTTTGCGTGGCCATGGCACATGGTGACACAGCTCTGCCCATGCTGCCCCTGATTATTTGGACAACCACCCCATGCGCTCTCTGGGCCCGAGAAGCCTGTGCTTGAACGAGGGGACCAATGCTGGAACGCAAACTCCGGCCTCACGTGGATGAGCCAGGAGCAAGACGCTGTGGATCTCCAGAGAAGAGAAGGTCATGTCCAGCCAGGGCTGCAGGGGGCGGGGGGGGGAAGGGAGTGGCTGCAGGTGAGCCACACCCGAGGGGCCAGAAGGGCAGAGCACAGCAGGGGATGGGGAGGAAGCTGAGCACTAGCCCGAGGAGAAGTCGGGAGGGAGTGAGGTTGCTTTCTCAGGGAGACTGCAAGAGCCTCCGGGTGTCAGCCCAGCAGGCCCCGCCAGGGACAGCCTGGGCACAGAGTGAGGAGTAGCCACTTGCACCACAGCGTGTCAAGGACCCAAATGAAGGCTGGGCTTGGTGGCGTACGCCTGTAATCCCAGAGATGGCTTGAGGCCAGGAGTTCAAGGATGCAGTGGGCTGTGACCACACCACTGCTCTCCAGCCTGGGCAACAGAGCAAGACCCTGTCTCCCAAAAAAAAGAAGAAAAAAAAAGAATTCCACCCAGGAGCTGTTGGTCTGGCTTTGTGTCTTAGTCCCTGGGGGTGGTGGGGAGGGAAGTGAGGGCCAGGGTGCCAGGGCTCCTCCCAGGCTGCCTTGTCAGTCTGGGAGCCCTCTGTGCCCTGTGCTCACTTGGTTACAGATGGTAGAATTTGACATAGCCCAGGGGCTTATCTCAGGATCCCCTCCGGGGCTGCCCTGGGCCTGGCACCTCGAAGTTATTTCACAAGGAGATAAGCCAGGATAGGCTGTCTCCCCAAAGTCACTACCAAGAGTACAGGGACCTGTGTGTAACCTGGCCACCTCCGAATATGTAGGGAGGCCATGGTCCCTCACCCCCCACTGGGAGCTGGCTTCAGGGGATGGCAGGGACATCGCGGAGCCCCAAGGGGCAGGGCTGCAGAGGAAGTTGTCGGTGCTGGACTTCATAGCCTGCGGAAGGGATGCCCGATCCGCCCATCTCAGAGGCTGCGGTTACGCTTGGAACCACAGAGCTTCCCGTCCAGGATCTTCTAAACCCCAGCTCTGGAATCCCTCATTCCAACAACACATGGTGGAATACATTGCCTAAAATAAAATGCGTCCCATAGACAGGCTCTGGCTGGCACAGAGTGGAGGCCCCAGACTTGCGCCCTGCGACAGCATCTGTCCACACGCTGATGACACTCCAGTTGAGTCCAACTCTCTCATTTTGCAGAAAAGACACCCAGGAGCTGGAGAGGAGAAAGACAGGCCCAAGTCTACCAGTCTAACCTTGGCAGAGACGGGACCTTTTTTTTTTTTGAGTCGGAGTCTCCCTCTGTCACCCAGACTGGAGTGCAGTGGCCGCTC